GGGGAGCGCGGCGCGGGGAAGCGCGCGCTCGGGCGGCGAGGCGCGAGCGGCACCAATCAGCGGCGGGTGGTGCCTCTCGCGGGAGGAGCGGGAGGCGGCCGAGCCCGCCCGCGGGGAGGCTGCGCGCAGTCCTCACTCAGGTCGGACCGAGCGCACCAATCAGGGGCGGGTGGTGCCTCTCGCGGGAGGAGCGGGAGGCGGCCGAGCCCGCCCGCGGGGAGGCTGCGCGCAGTCCTCACTCAGGTCGGACCGAGCGCGGCAGCGGTGCGGCCCCGGCTCTGCCCGCCCGCGGGGAGGCTGCGCGCAGTCCTCACTCAGGTCGGACGGAGCGCGGCAGCGGCGCGGCCCCGGCTCTGCCCGCTAGCCCGCAGCCCCGCGCGCGGCTCGGCGGCGGAGTGCACGGGGAGCGGGAAACGGCGGTGGGGAGACAGGGGCGGACGAAAGCCGGGAAGGAGCCACACAGGGGAGCCTGTGCTAGGCGGTAGTGCCCATGCAGGACAGCACAGTTTGGGGGCCAAAACGCAGAGCATCGTCCCGCTTTTCTTCCCCCGGTTTGCCGCAAAAATATATTTTGGGGGTAGTGAAGAAAAGCGGGCATCCATCCCGGATCCTTTTGCTCAGGAACAAAGAGGTAGAAAACAAGAGCACAGGGCAGTATGAAACTGTGCTTTTAGTGCATCCAATTCAGGCATTAAAAGAACAGGCGTGGTTTGGTTTTTTTGGGGTTTTTTTTTCCCCTCAGCGTGTATTAACCAGAACACCAGGTAGCAGCGGTCATAGGATTCGTTTTGGCCGGTTTGAGACCGATGTTAGACTTCTTAGCTGCCACCTCTGCACTAAGGCAAGACAAGCGGGCTCCTAAGGGACATAGGATAGAGCCTCAGTTTACCACAAACACTGCCACTCCTGCTTTCTTTTGAAATTTTATGTTTGCACCATAAATGTCTATTTCCCTCCCTCCACAGATCAAACAGTTGGGGCAAGAACTCGCCAGAGAACCAGCTCCTTTACTGAGAAGGTGGGTGGCTCTTAAAAGAGCCTTTGGGTTAAAAAGATGGGAGAAAGAGCGCAGAAACCGTCTACTTGGAGCTGGTGTACTTGGTGACAGCCTTGGTGCCCTCGGACACGGCGTGCTTGGCCAGCTCGCCGGGCAGCAGCAGGCGCACGGCCGTCTGGATCTCCCGCGACGTGATGGTGGAGCGCTTGTTGTAGTGCGCCAGGCGCGACGCCTCGCCCGCGATGCGCTCGAAGATGTCGTTGACGAACGAGTTCATGATGCCCATGGCCTTGGACGAGATGCCCGTGTCGGGGTGCACCTGCTTCAGCACCTTGTACACGTAGATCGAGTAGCTCTCCTTGCGGCTCTTCTTGCGCTTCTTGTCGCCCTTCTTCTGCGTCTTGGTCACCGCCTTCTTCGAGCCCTTCTTGGGCGCGGGCGCGGACTTGGCCGGCTCAGGCATCTCGGCACCAACCGCAGCTCCAACAAACAAACGAAAATACAAACAGCGAACAACGCCGGCACCGCCTCGGCGGCCGCTTTTATAGCAGCTCCGCCGACATCGCCGCCTCACGATTGGCTGTCTGTCGGCTCCGCGCAGGCACCGGGATTCGCTATTGGCCGGGTCTCGAATTCGCTTTCTCCATTGGCTGTGAAACGAGTCCTCTCTCAAAGCCAATCACAACGGGCGCTGCCGATCCGCCCGGGTTGTATATAAGGCAGGCGGCGAGGCGGGCTGGGCGTTCGTTCGGCTCTTCCGGTCTTGCTGCTGTCGCTGCTGCTGCTACGGAATCGCTGCCATGTCCGGTCGCGGGAAGCAGGGCGGCAAGGCGCGCGCCAAGGCCAAGTCGCGCTCGTCGCGGGCCGGGCTGCAGTTCCCCGTGGGCCGCGTGCACCGGCTGCTGCGCAAGGGCAACTACGCGGAGCGCGTGGGCGCCGGCGCGCCGGTGTACCTGGCGGCCGTGCTGGAGTACCTGACGGCCGAGATCCTGGAGCTGGCGGGCAACGCGGCCCGCGACAACAAGAAGACGCGCATCATCCCCCGCCACCTGCAGCTCGCCATCCGCAACGACGAGGAGCTCAACAAGCTGCTGGGCAAGGTGACCATCGCCCAGGGCGGCGTGCTGCCCAACATCCAGGCCGTGCTGCTGCCCAAGAAGACCGACAGCCACAAGGCCAAAGCCAAGTGAGCGCTTCCTGACGCTAACCGCCAAACAAAGGCTCTTTTCAGAGCCGCCCACATTCCTCATGAAGGGTTGTGTCACTGCACTTTTGCTTATCCAGTGAAAACAGGCAGCAACACGTGAGTTGTCTTTTCTTCAGAAATCTTAAATTATGCTTTTTTTTTTTCCTTTCAGTTTCCTTGCTCTTGTAAGGAAGTTGTCTAAAAGCTTCTCTCTTTTTTTTTTTTCTTAAAGATTGCATGCTTTTATTCAATGAGAGGAATTTTCTTTGTTTATGTCTTTTTAGCATGTCTTAGTTGACTGATGTATTGACATTTTCAATGTGTTTGCAGTGGGAAGTGGGGGTTTTGTAGTGGCACAAATATCGCGGGTCCTGCCCAGCCCGCTCCGTGTTTGCTGTACGGGCTCTGTTCAGTACCTGTTCGAGGACAACAATAAAGTCTTGGCAGCCTGGATTGTGTCCTTTGCGAGTACTGAATAGTAATCAGTCTCTTGCACCTTCATGTTTCACTGAAAGGGGAGTGGGAAGGGAGGGCTCTGTTCAGTACCTGTTCGAGGACAACAATAAAGTCTTGGCAGCCTGGATTGTGTCCTTTGCGAGTACTGAATAGGAACCAGTCTCTTGCACCTTCATGTTTCACTGAAAGGGGAGTGGGAAGGGAAGACAAACTTGCAGACAAAAAAAAAAACAACAAAAAAAAACAAAACAAAAAAAAAAAAACCAAAAAAAAAAAAAAAACCAAAAAACCCAAACCAAACAATCCCCAAAAAACCCCAAAACCAAAGCCCTAAATAATGTTATGCGGTCCTGGCAGTGGCTTGAACACATTGTTTCCCAACAGGAGGGGCGTTCCCAGCCTCGGGCCCGGACTGATCCACTTTTGCCGCCTTTAGCACTCCTGTGTGAGAGTCCCAGCGGCTTTCCTTGGCGGAATTGTAGAACACTGGGGAAAGGTTTCAGGCGGGGAGGAGGTGCCAGGGTCCCCAAGGAGCGGTCGGATGTGATGTGCCACTACGGTGGGGGCACTGCATTAGGCTGGCGAGAGCACGATCGCTTTTAATTTCCTTTTTCCGGCGCTGATCGCTGCATCCACGCCCTCTTCTCTCCCTGGTGTGGGGAGTTTCGAGCCCGCGCTTGGCTTTGGGAGAAAGCGAGTGCTTCTTAGAAAAGCTGCTGCTCTTACGGCAGGTCACACTGCTGCTTTAAATTTAATTCTCTGGTGCTGCCCTGCCGGCTTCCGATTTCCTTCTGGCTTTAGTGGGGCTCCTCCTGGCTCATTTTCCCTCAGCACCTCCTGCAGGCTCGTGGCTGCAGAAGCCAGCAGCTCCTTGGCCTCACCGGGCTCTGTCCTGCAGTGGTGGCACCGCAGCAACGGGAGCCGTTTTCACCTGACCGTGCCTTTCCCCATCTCTGCCCCGCAGTATAGGAAAAAAGAGATGTGACTTAACATCTGTGACCTGGTGTGCGCTGAATTTCACTTTCCTGAAAGTGAGTAGGTGCTGAATTCACCTTCCACAGGGGAAGGAATCTGCACTCCCCTCGATGTCACCTTGTTCCATGTAGCAGGACTGTCCTGCATATTGAAGTGTAGCAAACAATGGCAGAGCAGGGCCCTGGATTTTTAAATCCAGAAACAAGGTATATCCTCTTCAGTTTTGCCCCAGCCACCAGTTAAAGTATTTTTTACTTTACCTTTGTCAAAAACAAACCTGTAGGGTGAAGATGAAAAGTAGACATGATTGGGTTCAGATAAATGCTTTAAATTAATCCCAGCTCTTTTGCAGTTTCCTGCTGTTTGCCCCTGCTCTTTACACCATGCCAATTCCTGCAGAGACAGGTGAGCTGCTGTGGTAACTCTGAAGCACAGCACATGCCCATCCCGTGAGGTTGTGCATCACATGTAAGTACCAGTTAAGGCTGGAGCTCCAGGAGCTCCAGGTGCCTGTGGAACGTGGCCGTTTCCCTTCTCCCAGGGGGTTGGTAGCAGCGATTTCAAAAGCCCCCAGCTGCAGGAGTAGAATTGCCTCAGACAGGTTTGGCTTCCTGAGGCAGCTCAGCCGAGTCCCGGCTCCCAGGAGTGCCTGTGCTGCAGGCAGTGCAGCCTGCTGGTGCTGGGAGCTCAGCGGGAGGCAGCTCTGCCTAAAGATGGTTTGTTACATGCTGAAAGATTGGGCCTGTGCCATTCCTATGGCAATTTTGGTCTTCTTTTCTGAGAGGAATGACTGAAGGCACTAACCTTGCTGTGTGCCAAGAGTGTAAGGGGGGAAAAAAAACCCCAAAACTTGATCATGTGAAGTGTTCAGATTTTTTATTTTTGAGGTGGCTGCTATTTGCTACAAAAGGAAAAGAGGATGCATACCAGAGATATGTGTATTTCCTTACAGCTCTGATACTACACAAAAGGAGGTCAATATCCTTTCATCTGTTTGAAGTTCAGATTTCAGATGTAACACTCTGTGTTCTCTCTTCTTATTTCAGGAATTATTTCTTCCATTTTCTTACGACCTTTGCAAGTAAAAATATCCACATGCAATATAAGCAGGAGTGTAAGTACAAAAAGGTTGTGGATTTTATGTGGGATTAAAATTCCCATCTGTTCTGTAGCCCTTTTCAATCTACTTGTTTTCTAGCTGTAAAATGAATTATCCTCATAATTGCTTCCTGAGATTTACAGTGGTAAGAATGAAAGGATGAACTTTTCCAATTAATACCTTCTATCATTTTTGACAAGGAATGCTTTTGAAACATCCACTTTGACAGGGCTGCAGTCAAATAATTTAGTTCTTTGTAAGAATGAAGGAAATCTAACCAAAACCACCCTTTCCACCTACAGAGGCCTCTGGTTCTGTGACCCCAGTCCTTGAGGAAAGAGCTGCCTCTGCTCATTGTGATCTTCATCCTTCCTTGTAGGTGTGTGGGTTGGGAAGGGAGAAGTTCCCAGCTGCATTCCCATCTACTTTCAGCCCTCTCCTCAGTGAGATTAATGTCATGCCTTGAGCTGTGCTGTTCTCTGAATGCCACAACGCTCAGACCAGGTATTTGGAACCTCAAGTCTCTGTTTTTTTGTTTTTTTTTCATTTACCATCTAACCTCAGCCAGTTTTCATCACTGACAGAAAACATTGCAGCAAGGTGTGCGTAAGACCAAATATTTTTCCCTAGCTGCAGTCAATACTTTCTCCTGCAACTGTAATTATTTTAAAATATAATGTTTTCTATTTAAAATGGGAAAGAAAGCCTCTGGGAAACTGACATTGCAATAAGTTGTCTAGAGAGTCAGGTAATTGTATTCTGGGGCCATTAAAGGAAAAAAAAATCCAGATTTGAGAACAGATATTGGTTTATATCATTAATAGAAACAACACAAATGTTAAAAAACCCAAACAAACAAAAGAAAACCCCCCACCAAAACAAAAAAAAAAGCCCTGCAAAAACCTCAAAACCCCAGGAAGTAGCAAAAAATTCTTACAGACAGTCTGTGATCTGTTCGTGTTTTGGTCCAGGCGTATGGCATCTGTTTCTCATTTCTGATTCACTGTTCGGTCTGGTAACTAGTGAATACAGATATCTGTTTGCCCAGCTGGTGTATTTCACTTTTGCAGAAATAAAAAGAGAGGGTGTTTTCTTTTTTTAAACATGATGATTAATAAACATAAATTTTACTGCAGGGATGGTCATCTAGAGAAGATATACATTCTTCCAGGAGAGATAATTTTATTATTCTATTAAAAATAAAATAGGGATTTTTTTATAACTGGTTGTATTGCTCTTCAGTGTTCTTTTTTTGCTAAAAAAACTTGCAAAAAAAAAAAAAAAAAAAAAAAAAAAAAACCCACAAAAAACCCAACCAAACAATCCCCAAAAAAACCCAAAACCAAAGCCCTAAATAATGTTATGCGGTCCTGGCAGTGGCTTGAACACATTGTTTCCCAACAGGAGGGGCGTTCCCAGCCTCGGGCCCGGACTGATCCACTTTTGCCGCCTTTAGCACTCCTGTGTGAGAGTCCCAGCGGCTTTCCTTGGCGGAATTGTAGAACACTGGGGAAAGGTTTCAGGCGGGGAGGAGGTGCCAGGGTCCCCAAGGAGCGGTCGGATGTGATGTGCCACTACGGTGGGGGCACTGCATTAGGCTGGGGAGAGCACGATCGCTTTTAATTTCCTTTTTCCGGCGCTGATCGCTGCATCCACGCCCTCTTCTCTCCCTGGTGTGGGGAGTTTCGAGCCCGCGCTTGGCTTTGGGAGAAAGCGAGTGCTTCTTAGAAAAGCTGCTGCTCTTACGGCAGGTCACACTGCTGCTTTAAATTTAATTCTCTGGTGCTGCCCTGCCGGCTTCCGATTTCCTTCTGGCTTTAGTGGGGCTCCTCCTGGCTCATTTTCCCTCAGCACCTCCTGCAGGCTCGTGGCTGCAGAAGCCAGCAGCTCCTTGGCCTCACCGGGCTCTGTCCTGCAGTGGTGGCACCGCAGCAACGGGAGCCGTTTTCACCTGACCGTGCCTTTCCCCATCTCTGCCCCGCAGTATAGGAAAAAAGAGATGTGACTTAACATCTGTGACCTGGTGTGCGCTGAATTTCACTTTCCTGAAAGTGAGTAGGTGCTGAATTCACCTTCCACAGGGGGAGGAATCTGCACTCCCCTCGATGTCACCTTGTTCCATGTAGCAGGACTGTCCTGCATATTGAAGTGTAGCAAACAATGGGAAAGACTTCTGTGAAAAACTGTGTGTGCATCATCTCGATGATGTGTGAATCCTAGAATAAAATTCTAGTTTGTAGGCTGTAGAAACTTCCAACAGAGAAATTTTATGGGTTTCTTCGCCTTACAAAAGAATGCTCTGATACTAAGGCTACAATGGTAATAGTCAAAAAGATATATAATTAATAACTGTCATTGTAGTATTTCCTCTCTTTTTTTTCTGCTGTAGAATGTGCTTGGTTATTATGTAGTTGTGATTTCGAGTTACATACTTGGGAACTAAATTAAAGATACCAGCTACATGAGGTCTAAATTATGAAGGGTCACAGGACCTAGAACGTATATTGTACAGGCAGACCCTCTTGTGAAAATGCTTTATAGATGTGCTTTACCCAAACCGGGATAAGTGAGCAGAACTGCTTTGAAAATATGTGTATTTCCCCACAGTGAGTTATCGGCACAGATGTACTCCCGGATATTTCTTTGACAAAAACTTGGTTTTGCTACAGCAGAGTGGGAGAAGATGGTGAAAGTGGGAGCCCTTAGCAGCTCCGACAGGACACAACTTCGAGCAGGGCACCACCAACCCCCCACGCCGCCACTGAATCCCCATCCCTCTCTCTCCACCACCCCCCACTGAATCCCCATCCCCTCACTCTCCACCCCCCCACAGCCCGTGCTTGAGGAAAGGATTCTGCATCCCGTTTGGAATCGTGGGATTCACCGTGGCCCCCGGACTGACAAGCTGCCTGTGTGATAAA